TTAAGGAAATAATCCTACTTACAATAAAATTAAATACTATAAAATTTTAATAAATCATGCTGAGAGAACTAGTTAGCCCACATGTAAAAGACTAAAACTAAACACACACCCCTCACCATTAACAAAAATTAACTCATGATGGATAAGAGATTTAAATCTAAGATATGAAACTATAAAAACCCTAGAAGGAAGTGTGGGAAAACTCTTAAATCTTAACTTACTAACCTAGGGAAAGAATTTATGAAGACTCCACTAGAAATTACAGCAAGAAAACAAATAAATGGGAATACATTGAAAAAAGGAAAGCAACTTAACAGAATGGGAGAAGGGGCTCGGTACCCACAGCACAGTGGTCACAGAGCCAGCCACATACACTGAAGGTGGCGGGCTGGAACCCGGCCCAGGCCAGCTAACCAACAATGACAACTGCAACAACAAAAGAATAGCTGGGCGTTGTGGCTCTTATTTGTATTTATTTATTTATTTTTGTTTTTAAAGACAGAGTCTCAGCCATGCGTTATAGCAGGTGACTGTAGTCCCAGCTACTTGGGAGGCTGAGGCAAGAGAATCGCTTGAGCCCTAGAGTTTGAGGTTGCTGTGAGCTGTGATGTCGCAACACTCTACTGAGGGTGACATAGTGAGACTCTGTCTCAAAACAAGGAATGGTACAAGGTATTTGCATGCTACCAATCCAACAAAGGGTTATTGACCAGAATCTACAAAGTACTCTAGCAAATCAACCCGAAAAGGTAAAACTACCCCACTAAAAACTAGGCAAGAGAAAGAAAAAGAAACTCTTCTCATGAGGACTTACAAATGTCTAGCTAACACATGAAAAAAATGAACCCACCAGCCTCACGGTATGTGCCTGGCGCCCTAACTGCTGGAGCTATAGATGCCCAGCCTCATTTTTTATAGTCTTAAGGAGAATTAATTCTCAGATAATTTAAGAGCATGAGAAAGAAGACAACCTGAGTGGCATCCATAGCTCATTGGGCAGGGTGCTGGCCACTCACACTGACGCTGGCAGGTTTGAACCTGGCCCCAGCCACCTAAAACAATGACAACTGCACCGAAATATATAGCCCAGCATTGTGGCAAGCGCCTGTAGTCCCAGCCACTTGGGAGGCTAAGGAAAGAGAATGGCTTAAGCCCAAGAGCCTCAGGTTGCCATGACCTATGACACAAAAGTCCAGTTTAAAGACAAGAAGTTCTATTTCATTAGAAAAGACACATGAGGCTTGGCATCTCTAGCACAGTGGGTACAGCTGCGGCCACATGCACAGAGGCTAGCGGGTTGGAATCAAGCCGGGGCCTGCTAAACAACTATGACAACTGCAACAAAAAAGTAGCTGGACATTGCAGTGGCCTGTGTAGTCCCAGCTACTTAGGAGGCTGAGGCAAGAGAATTGCTTAAGCCCAAGAGTTTGAGGTTGCTGTGAGCTGTTAACACCATAGCGCTCTACCAAGGGTGAGAATGAGACTCTGTCCCCAAAAACAAAAGAAAAAGAAGAAAGAGAGAAATGAATTTTGCTTGGGGCTAATCAATTTTCACCTTTGTATTGGACACAATAGAGGGAAAAAAATGACAAAAAGTTTCAAAAAAATTACTTTCCAGATTACCAATTTGACAGCCCCTATATTTAAAATGTATTCTTACGTATTTAAGTACTTAGTATGGTACCGAGTAGAAAAGAGTGAATAATGGAAGATTCTAAAAAATTATTTTCCAATTACTATTTTCTGACAGCCTCTGAAGAATATTTAATAAGAAGCATTTTAGATATGTAGATCCTGCGCTTCACTTTCAAATATGACTGAATTAAAAATAAACAGGAGGGGCTC